AAACCAGCGACTGAGTGTTGGCGCCGCCAAATGAAAGAAGCAAAGATTCATTGTTACTTCACGTGCAAAGTTCACAACAACGCGAGAACAATGGAGATGACGGGCTGATCGTCAGGGTCGGAGTATGAACGTCACATTTCTGTCCATTGAGAGGAAACTTTCTGAGCAAGTCATGAAGTATGCCTGAGGAAATTTAATGCGATCGAATCAAACAGCGGACGGCACAGAAACTATGAAGTGCAAAGACAAACTGACACCTTAAATAGAATTTTCTGAGGGGTATAAAAATAACATTATTTGCACACAGATCGTAAATAACTTATTTTGTGGAGGTCCCAACAACATTGTTTCATGTATTTACTGAGCGTTTCACGCGTAAAAATCAATGCGAAACATAGAATAACAAAAACGTTGCCCTGTCTTTACGTATCAGCCGAAATGATCGCTAAAAGAAAAATCCAACCCATTTATAAAAAAAATTAGATTAGTACCCACTGCAGTGAGTGACAGAGCTAGAGCGCATTTTCTCGTCCGCCCGTCCGTGAAGTCACGGACAGACGAACGGACGGACGGACGGACATGCCGAGCACAATAGCGCATTTTTTCCATAAATGAGAAAATGCGCTAAAAAGTTGAGGTTGTAAGCATTGGTTTTGTCTTACACATATATGTATAACTCATTCCATTGTCCTTTTGGTTTCATTAACCGTTACTTAGCCAGGCAAAAAAATGTATGTACGGTCGTGTAATTTAAAATAATATAACCGAAAAATACACTACTGCAAATATCAGCGTTTTTTCGTGCCCGGTCTCTTCCTAAAACATCTAATAAAAAACAAGGAGCAAATGAGCCAAACCCTCGTGCGCTTGTTGCTCAGTGAGAACCAACGAACTACGCAACATCGGCCGCCGTTAGGAAGTTGAAATGAAGATTCCCGTGAAGCGATGACATCATGACTTAGGATTGCAGGGATAATTGCTGCTGCTCACAGAGCCGATCATTGCTAATCCATATGCACTGAAATTTACCCCGGCGCTATCACCGCGCAGACAGCTCTTCATAAGAGCGATATGCAGCAGTGTATTTTTCGGTTATATTATTTTAAATTACACGAACGTACATGCTTTTTGTTGCATGAGAAAATTTTGATGAAAAAGACACTGGAATGAGTTATACATAAGTGTGTAACAAAACTAATGCTTACAATCCAAACTTTTGCGTCAGCACAGTGTTGAACATCAAACCTATTACGAGTACTAATAGGTTTGATGGTGAACAAGTGTTATTACTGGCAGTAGATGACCGCAGCAATCGATAACGTAATATACGAAAATCGGCATTTATGACAACCAAAATTTGCAAAATCAGGATTATGAGCGAGCATTATTCATACAGCAGAAATTATTCACACACACTCTCAAAAATCACTGAAATATCTCAAGATTCTCAATAGACATACTTCGCATGAGAAAAATTATTCATGAAGATTTATTCATAAATATTTCTGATATGGAAGGAGTAGAAATGCATACAAAACTAAGGGACATCTTCCAACAAGAAGTTGCAATTGCAATAGAAGCTTCGTGACAGTAACGACCGAAAATTAGACACTGAACGTGTTTCTCACGCACAATGCAGCACTCGAGAATTTCACGCCAAAAACAATGTGTTAAAATCGGGACTGTCGAGCGCTGCATATTAAGCAACTCGTTCTCACTCATTCAGAAGCTTTTTCGTCGAGTGACATCACTGTTGCCTCAAGAAAATCAACTAGAAAAACCGTTTCGATTATTCGTCCACGCAAGTGCGATGGGAACTGAGCGTCGGATGATACAGTCGGCGAAAATGCATGAAACTGCACACATAAATACGATGAATGAATGCAGGGCTAGCGTGGTCACTTGAGCAATACGAAGAAGATCATGAGAATTAGTTGCTTGTTCCCGTGAATTTCTTAAACGAGGTTGTAAGAAAAACCCAAATCTTAAAGCAGTTTCTCAGGATCATTTACACAAGACAGACGAAAACTACAGCAGTGTTTTACGATGTTACGTACACGAGGCTACAAGGTGAGAGTGATAGCACAGCATGGTTTTTTTTCAGAGACAAAGTAAGCGAAGACGTTTCCGTTGTGGGGCTATGAAGGTGGGAGAACCGAGCGTTGCACAACACGCACAGCCTTCGCATGTTGACCCGCATACCGCGCCGCATGTTAACGATCGTTGTGCGGTGAATAAGTAAGTAACTGCGATATGTATCCTCGTCCTTACGCGTATAATATGTCATTATAAAATTAGGTAAGTATCGATACAAATTTCTCGTTACTGAAACACTTGAAAGTATTTTCAATATGTAACTTTCATTTTATTGGCCCATAAACGTTGGAAAGGCACAATTCGTATGATAAAATAAAATAAAATAATAATTAAATGTTACAAATATGAAGCAAACCGAAACTCTCAACTAAAAATAAGCATAATTCGTAACTCAAATCGAGGACAACTGATGCACAATGCGATATGTGACTCATAAAATAAAGACTGGAGATTTCACTAAAATTATTATTATAAATACAAATCAACAGGAAATTACGAAGAAAGTTTCACAAAGATTAGTTCAATGACCAGACTAACACGGAGGAAATACACACAAATATACGAGATGATTCACGCGTGGTGAAGTGCAACATCTATAGCCTCTTTGAATTTAATCGTTAAGTAGCGTTATGACTCTTGAGCGATCAGGTCGATGATTCTTACGTATGAATATGTCAGTGGCTACTTTTATATAACCATATGAAGAGGTAGTTTATTTCTCTTCGTGGGTAATGAAGGTGGTGAATTTCATTTTAGCCATTTATAACAACGATAACATCTTCTAAGGGTTTTGTGTGCTTTTTTCGATCAGTTTAATTGGTGAAAAGTAGAACAAGTTTGGGAATCATTCATATACGTGGATACCTTAAACCGTTGCTAGCACACAAAGAATGACACGATGATTAAGACGAGCAATTTATAACGTGGACAAATGTAGATTTTCTTTGAAACTCGAGGCTTAAGCCAACAGAATAGGATGAGAAACGATGATTGCAATAAGCTTATCTTCGTTTGAGTCAAAATGAAACCAATGCAAAAATTTGCGCGTCGCATTGCAAAGCCCAAATTGTTAGGCACAAAAAAAATCTCTGGGATTAAATTTTGTACAGCTTATCTTTGAGACATATAAAAAACAAATAACCATGGCAACAATTGAATACTAATCAGCAACTGCCAAAAAAGTCGCGCACTTATCATCGAATGATTGGATCGCCTTTCTAGCTGAGGATAAATCACATGCGAATCTGTGTGTTATCGGCAAGAACCGGACCAGAGGACTACACCGTTAAATAGCGCGGTTTATCACAAAAATTAAGTACGAGTTTCCCACGCGTTAGAAGGGCGAAAAATACATGAAATTATTACGAGTGTGAACGGATGTCAACAAAAAACTGGTCGCAACCTCAGCTGTAAATTAAAAAAGTCAAAACTTCCAAGCAAATCAATTTCTAGATAATTCTTAGAATTTCAAACTTTTGCCGAACTTAATGAAAACATATTGTCGAATAAGTTGGGTAACATTGATAAACCGATAATTTTCACAATAATAACTCGTGTTTTTACGTCCAATAAACTTGCATGGCTCCATCAAGTGCGTTAACTGCGCTTGATCGCGCAATAAAAACTACAAAATTAATGAGATTCTCAAACTCTTCTGAGAAATTTTCTGCAATTCAGTGGTTAATTTCATGCGTAACGAATGAATAATTTCAAATTCTGCTGAAAAGTAACTTTAATTGAATTTAAATGTCCTGCATGCCACGCATTGTAATTTTCCATGGTTGTCGTCGTTTGGTGACTGAAGTAAATTTTGCATGATCGAACGAAAATAAATTAAAGTTAATAAAATCATAATATTTTCAATTACTGAAAATCGATTTTTTTTTTCGACGAAGAATCGATACGAAGTATTTCCTTTCCGGAAATTTGACGTTGAAATATAGTAAGGTTGAATCAAATAAAGAATGAAGAAAAATTCGGATTTTAACATTACACTTCAATTAGGGGACGGATTAGTGCTTAATATTACTGGGACTGTCTAGACTCGGTTGTTATGGGAATAATTTGGCTACGGTGTCCCGCTGACCAGACATACTATATAGTGCGTGCAAAAAACTGAGGCGCTCCACAGGAAATGATGAAACATGACTCAGGAAACGACTTAATAAACAAACTCTCCTACTGCAGAATTCAGTCACACGCCAGTTATAACAAAAGGTCATATAGGTAGGCGTCTTAAAACATATACATGAGTGGTAAAATATACGTTAATTTGAATTTCTTTACCAAGTATAAGTGAACTAAATAATTAATATTAGTTTCAACACAGAGAAGTATATAGATCGACATTCATCCACGCAGTACTTATGATTTACCATACACTTGAAAATAATGAACAATATCAAGTTGATATTTCACATAAGAACCGAATATATTGAAGAACCGAATATATATTGAACATTATGACGATACAAGTTGAAATTAATAATGCAAGTTGATTAAAAAAGAACAGGTTAATAAAGTAATTAAACATTATATAACGAAGCTGGACGGAACAAGCTTTCAAGAATATTCATGTACCAAACTCTATTGTTAAAAGCAATATCGATTTCGCAAAATAATCAAATTAAAAAATTTCATTCAAATGAAGTACATAAAACCAAAAAGAAACGTCACATGCAAAAAACAAATATAACTCAGTACTCACTGCAGTAGGTGACAGAGAGCGCATTTTCTAGTCGACGAAAACGTGAAGTCACGGACAGACGGACGGTCAGGCAGACGGACATGACGAACACAATAGGGCATTTTTTTCAATAAATGAGAAAGTGCGCTAAAAATGTCTTCGTACTTAAAGAAAAAGAGATACACACAATTTAAAGCTGTAAAATAAGAAAACTCACCTGGTCCAATAACAGCAAGTTTAGGCTTGTTGCCGGGGCTGTTTTTCGATGACGCGGACGATGAGTTGACGTAACCGATTCTACTGGGGGACAGGGTGAAGTTAGGCCGGTCTCTCTGCGACACGGCTGACCGGCTCCGCAGAAGTTGCACGCAACGTTTGAAGGCACCACCTACGGTCCCTTGACTCGGCTGGTCAGTAGCTGTGATACCAGCATCAGCACCTCCCCTAATATTCTTTGGCTCCATAGAAGATTTCAGACGAGGGCCGTCGGACTCCGTCACGCATGTAAATTTCACGTGACTGCGAGGAGTCACCGAGATGGAATTACGATGGCGTCTGTCAGTCATGTCGGGAGTGACATTCGAGTTGCTGAGGATTCTTGCTGAATTGGGTTTAGGCCGCGTTAACGAGTGGTCGCTCTCAGATGTATCACTAGAGTTCGGTGCTGTGCTTGCTTCGCTGTCGACGTATTCTTTCCGTGCGATAGAATTTCTTCTGGTAGCTTCATAATTATTACTCGGGAAACAATCGGCTAGGCCATGGATGTTATTGAGAGGTGTGCATTCGATCACAAATGCATTAAGACTGTCTCCGTTTAAAATATTCTGTCGGGGGACAGATAAACTTGAACGCCTAAGAGCCTTGGGAGGTATACCTGGTTTTTTGTCAGGAGATTTTTCTGGAACATCGTATTTCTCATTCTCATCGCCAGGCAAACGCTCACTTCTACACGACTCTCGTTCTCGGTCAGCAATATATTTGTTTGTTTCTATATTTGTCTCGGACTTATTTTCATATGGGTGACCCACGGAATCAATAGAATTACAAGGAGCTCCTCTTGGGCCGGCAAAAGTTTTGCTTCGTTTTGTTATCTGGCCAAACTTCCTTAAATCTGGCCTAATTTTGATACCAAAAATCTGCCCATCGTTGCGGGATTTGGAACGGCGAACTTTGTCATTTGAATGAGCGAGGTCAACATTGCTGACGGGAGACACTCGACGAGGTGGTGTACAAGGGGAATGATTGATCGGAAGTTGAATGTCAGACTTTGAGTGGCGAATACGATGAACTGGGTTGGGCGATGACAGCTTGGAAAATTTTGAAGACGATTCCATTATTTGCGGCGAATAAGGGTCGTAAAAGGCTGGTGGCATGTTACTTGATTGATTTCGACACGAGCCAAGTAGGTTTTCGTTCGAATTGTTAATATTTTCGATGATTGTATCAAGACATGAAGAGGAAGACATGGATCCTTCAAGGCACGATGACACTTCCTGAAATCCCTCAGGTACTTGAGATTTCCGAGGAGACCTTAGAAAATTTTTGACTTCACATCTTCCAATATTTTCTGGTTTCAGGTCCGCACAACTTGCCCGCATTCGATCATCAGTAATTTTCTGCACACCAGTAGTGTAAATTTTAATTGTATTGGGTTCCAGGTTAAGTGATTTTGATTTTTTGAGTGGCGATTTGGAGGGAAGAATAGGAGAAACGTTAGGGCTGTTTATAATTATTCGAGCTGAATTCCCTTTCGTTGGAGAAGCAAAGTCGATAATTTTTCTGTTGTCTCTTTGAGATAAGTTTGAGGGCTTTTCAACCTCATTGTGGATATTTTTAACAGGCTCGCGGTAGTTAATGATTTGCAAAGTGACGCCATCGCTGTCATTAGAATCTGTCACTTCGCTCTCAGCATCACTGCCACTGTCGTAACATTGTACACTCTTATTTATTTTTTCTATACTTACATTTGTACGCGGAGTCATACTACCTCTGATTTGCTCAATTCCATTACGGATATTGAGAGACCTGACATGACTCGCACTTCGTTGGTTACCATCCATGTACACATCGTCAGCAAAACCTTGTTGTTTAACATCAAGCACGACATCCTTGTCCGTAATGTCACAACTACGCGAGTTTCTGTGCGTAGCAAAGTAGTTTCTCAGGTTACGTTCCCTATCAGTTAGAGCAGACACATCTTGTGAAATATCAACAACTTTACATTCACTGCTGGTGTCCGCGTACTTTTTCAGACATTCTGGTTTAGTGTCGCTGTTGAAGCTGGGTCGGTGCGAAAGAAGGACTGGCTTTTCGCAGTCACTTGCCACTTCTTTGCACCGGTTATTGTTGCCGGCAATGCGCCTCATGGATTTAAGTTTCAAGCGACGCTCCATGTCAGGATTATTTACCACCTCGTGCATTGACCCAAACAAAGTTCTAGCATATCACAGGAGTGTTCTGATTCACACCTGCTCAGTTAGTTCATTTCACAACCATTTCATGGCAGCAACATAGTTTGAAGTTATATTATTCAGTACAATACTTGAAAAATCTCACAGCACAATTGATCAATGTCTCCTGTAAAATATACGCATAGATAAAAAATTTACAAGCCTACAAAACAATGAAAAATTATTCTTATTTCAGAAATCATTCCACCACATTTCAAAACGATACTCGAGGCATTCACGTAGCAACATAAGATATGTATGGTCGAACGCATTTCATGGGTATTGTGAGCATATATTCAATATTATACAGGGTTATTATTAATAATGGACCCAATGTAATAAATTCGTATTTATTTCGGTTCAAATTCAAAATTTATTATTTATATTTATTTATTATTATAATTTATAGACCAGTGGAAAGAAAAAGTTTCGATTTTTTACTTTTATGTATATATAAATGGTCAACATGTCCCCTTATGCTACACGGCAAACATCAAAGCGGCTGCCTATAACTCGTCCCACACACAGGAAAGCATATCTTCTGAATATATCCCTAACGATCAGCAACTTAGGAAGTGACTGATTCAAAAATTGTTTGAGACAAAATACATTTCGCGTTTGAATAGGTGAAAAAAACTTCGAATCTTTCAATTTCAATTGGCGTATAAATTGTTAATTGTGAATTTACACTTATATAAATACGAATTTATTAAATTGGGTCCATCATTTAGAATAACCCAGTAGTTCTGCTCTCAACAGTGAATATACAAACGTATGTGCAGTACGTCTTTCAAGAATTCAAAAAGTACAAATGGTTATTATTAATAATGGACCCAATGTAATAAATTCGTATTTATTTAGGTTCAAATTTAAAATTTATTATTTATATTTATTTATTATTATAATTTGTAGACCAGTGGAAAGAAAAAGTTTCGATTTTTTACTTTTATGTATATAAATGGTCAATATGCCCCCTTGTGCTGCACGGCAAACATCAAAACGGCTGCCTATAACTCGTCCCACGAACGAGAAAGCATATCTTCTGCATATATCCCCAACGCTCAGAAACTTAGGAAGTGACAGATTCAAAAATGTTGAGACAAAATACAAATGAGACGCCGCCAAATTTCGCGTTTGAATAGGTTAAAAAACTTTGAATCTTTCTATTTCAATTGGAGTATAAATTGGTAATTGTGAATTTACACCTAAATGAATACGAATTTATTAAATTGGGTCCGTCATTTAGAATAACCCTGTAGTTCTGCTCTAAACAGTGAATATACAAACGTATGTGCAGTACGTCTTGTAAGAATTCAAAATGCACAAACGAAAGTACTCCAAAGGTCGCACGGATTTCTTAATTGGCGTTCCTGAATGTTATCCACAAAAACCAGCACTGTTATCGATCGTCCTTCAAATTAAATATCAATGGCGTAAAACAAAGCTGGTGATTAAGAGTTCTAATAGTTTATACTGAATGATTGAGGTATCGTTGACACGGACTGATAAGTGATAAATTATAAGACAATCGAGCACACGCGCATGCAGTAATGGTCGTTTGATTACGACCTTTAACATGAGACGATTACTTGCGGCTTATCAAGTATTTTGTTAACTTTGCCCTCACCGTTCGGTAAAAATAATTCCAACGATAAAATTTACGAGTAAACTTTCAAATCTTATTCCTCGCAAAGTAAGGGTCGAATGATAATAAATCAACTTCAAAGATTCACGATAAAATATAACAAATTAAATTTCTGCATGAAATACTAACGAATTCTACGGACTACTCCATTAGTACTCCAAGAAAACTACTTCTTCTTAAATTACATGAAAAAGTTTAATCCGGGAATCAGTGGGCAATTATAAGAATCTTTCTTGATATGATAACGGGAGTAAAATATGATTTATATAATTATTTATATTACAATATAATATGATTATTACCTACATTCTTATATATAATATGATTATAAACCGTTCCTCTAACACTGACTGATGAAGAAACTACGAACCGAATTTCAGCTTTCTAGCGCATCAGACTCGAACAAAGATTAAAGCATTGTCAAAATATATTTTTAGATAAAATATAATTTTCAGAATAATTGTCAAAAAAATAAATGGCATTATTAAACAGAAAAAATGTTTCGAAACGTTCCAAGAAAAACACACACGAAGTTGGATAACGATCTGCACAGCATTGAAGTCCGTACAACTTGGTACAAATTATCCGCATTTATTCATCTATCCTTCTGAAGTTGAAAATTAAGGACTAGGTCCCAAACAAATTGAAAAACATTTATGTCAATAAACCAGTTTCAAACTTGCGTCTCCAATGCAACGAAGATACCTAAGAGAATTCAACTTCCTCAAATTGAAAATGAAGAAAACACGAATCCAGAGTACTGCTTCTGAAGAGAAAGAGGGCAAGCTGTTTCACATTAAATTCAATGATAGAAAGCCGCTCAATTTTGTTCATTAAACTGAGGATGTAATAATGAAATGACGGTGCAAGGCGTCTGAAAATTGTTAATGAGTTCATCACATCCTGTCGAGACGATCCACAAATAAGATTACTGGGCCAAGTTCATTTTAAACTTGGCATCCGCGTATAAAAAAAATATAAACTTAAGGCATCCGCGTATAAAAAAATATAAACTTAATTGGCATCCGGACGTAAATTACGCTGCGAAATAATCATTGAATTTTTATAGCTGTGAAGATTCTATTATAAGATAATTTTTTACAGTACAATTGTACCCTGAACAAGCATGACATTCGTCAAAGCTTTGTGTTCATAAATTAAATCAATTTCACTGCATCGCACAATACTGATCAATTCAAACGGGAGTTAGAGAATGAATTAAGCTAGCCGTTGACGGCTGATTCTATTATAACACCAATAATAAATACAATAGAAGAGACCAATGGAAAAACGCGAGTAAACCAAATCAGTAATATTCAATTTATTTGGCAAATACATACATCGTTTAAAGAAATTAGTGAGACTCTATAATAAAGATGATCTTTTACACATGCGGGTCATCCTGATTCAGTTCGGCCCGGCACAATTACGTATCAGTGCTACTTGCAGAAATTGTGTCACTATTTGGACAATACGACCCATTCTTTTTCTGTGGAACATTTTTCGCTTCAAGACAAGCACAGAAATTCGCCTTAGGCTAAGTGTCTGGGAATGCTGACAAACAACTTGAATTTCTATCATTCAACCGAGACTCAATAAATAAATATTAAAATAAAATAAAAAAAAACGTTTCGGGAAGTGGGATCAGCAGAATGAGCAGCACACCCAGAAAAATGAGCATGTCATATTGTCCTAATAGTGACACAATTTCTGCAACTAGCACTGATACACCGTTATCCCAGGTCAAACTGCGTCAAGAAGAACCAAAAGTGAATCGCTATTTGGACAAGTCTCCCTCATTTCACTGGGTGCATGGATGCGGTACATATAAGGCGGGGACAGTTATGCCGAGGTCACGATGCAGGTTAACAGCCAGTCATTCGACTGCCGCTCTTTCATTGATTTACGACTGAAGGGCAGCAGTTGAACAGCTGCACACATGCTCGAGAGAGAAAGCCTACAGCTTTAGAGAAGTTCCCGACTTGAGGCTCGCACGCCAAAGATTCACGAGATGCGCCTGTACAATGCAGCTGCTCACGGCATGCATTGAAAGTTAGTCCGTATCATCTTTCATTACGTGCATTTCTGTGGTGCTTTGGTACACATAGAAGATTGTTTATTTTAAATGGCAGGATTTACTTGTTAACACACGTGCGATCGATGACCAGAGAATCAATCAATGCTTCTTTAACTTGAAAATGAATGTTTGTTGCATTCGAAACGTCGTTAATAAATAAGAATTACTTCCTGAAACTTGCCTTTTGATCTACCGTTCAACTGAAGAAAAGTTCCATTCACTGATAATAGAAATCAACGAATTCTCTGGTCATCGATCGCACGATAGAAGATTGTGTAGATGTATATTGAAGCAGGAGCTAGGTACTGATGCATTCAATTCATTTGAATGAGCTTATTCTGTAAAGAAGACAGCCAAATTGAATGAATCGAGAAATTTCTTACAGTACGTCGCTAAATGGTTTTTGAGGCCGATAATGACAGAGACAACATGTATTGATGATTTTATAATGTGAGATGCCGATGCAAAGGCAGTTACTTATCAAATCATACGAATGACTTGTTCTCCAAACTTGGTTGAAATATTGTTAAATACTTAGACGCTATAATGAGAAAGAAAATCATACTGAAAAATTTACAATTGAAAACTCAAACTTGTAGCGTATCTGGAGCCTCACGCTTTGAATAATCCGTGTATCAAGAGTCTCACGCTTTGAATAATACGCGTATCAAGCGTAACTCAAAATTCACATTGAATTGATGAAATTTAAGATGTACAATAAATAGTTCGAAATTTCCAAAACATGGATGCCATATGCATGTGCACCAATAATAGTAGGTCGTCTAGTAATGCAAATTCCTCTGCGAGTTAGTTAATTAGTTTCAGAATCATTCAACGCAACAATTTTTTCTACTTCAGCGCAGCGTCAGAGCGTACTACACAACCACGGTAATGGGAATCGAAAGGTAAAAACTAGGCGGCAATAATTGGGCACATAGAGGACTATGACTGACATCCATCAGAGTACCAAGGACAATGTCATCCATCAGACCACCTCAAGGGTAGCAGACACTTGAAGTGAACAGCCGTGATGAATTGAGAGACCCTGCGCATGAGATGGTGAGTTTAAAATGATCAGCGACGTCAGCGCGTGAGTCATTACGGTACTCAATTTTAGGAAGTCATCTGTACAGTGTATACATATACAGGTCGAGTACTGGACTGCAAATCAAGCGATGGGTTAATTGGTGCCGAAGCATAATTGAGAATTCAATCAACCCACACCTCATCAAGATCGAAAGAAACACAACAATTATTTATGAGTCTGCATAATGCTATCATACATATTCAGGTGTGTATCAATGATAATTTTTACTGCAACAGCAATGCATTGCGCACGATAATTTGATAGGAATAATGATAAGAATGTAAAACAACTCAATCA